CATTGAATGGCCCTAGTTAATATACAGTCCTCAACAGCTTGAGTGCTTCTTTCCTCCTCCTTAAATACCCTTGCGTTCCTTTCTTCCCATATTGTCCACAAGGCGGCTGCTCTAATACATCTCCACATTATTTTTCTTTTTTTTTTTTTGTAGGCTACACAAAAAATGAAGGATCAAATAGCTGACTTAAATCTATGGACAGATTTCACTTGCGCCCAAACAAAGAGAAAATCCAACTCCAAATAGCACTAGAAAAGGAACAAGATACAAGTAAGTGAGATCCTCACCACTAGCCCTGCAAAGTACACACCAGTTAGGGGTCAAACACAAAGAAGGCCTTTTCCTCTGCAAACAGTCCAAGGTATTAATCTTTCTATAAAACACCTCCTAGCAGAAAATAATAACTTTAGGTGGAACCGGTCTAGACCAAATCTCCTTTTTGGAAAACCCCATTGTCCCTGGGAAGAACAAAAGGGATTTGAAAAAGGAAGCACAGGTAAAGTAACCTTTTGGGTGAGGGAACCATAACCTCACATCCAAACTATGGGGGTCCAAGAAGACACAACCAAGAAGGGACAACAGATCTGAAACACTGTTAAGTTCATTATCCCTCAAGCTTCTCCGAAAGCCAAAGTCCCAACTTAAGGAGGGGGTGAAAAAGGAGATGAGAGAAAAAGAGAGATAACCTTTTCCTTGTAAAGGGAAATGGAATAAAGAGACGGAAATTGGTCGTTTAGGGCAACATTACCCACCCAAATGTCTTCCCAAAATAAAACAGATGTACCAGAATTAACATCATACCTGAAAAAGTTGAGAACTAAGGGAGGATACTCTGGATTGCTTTCCATGGGGAAGCCAACGTAGCTTGACGTGATACACCCGCATCCCAACCATTTTCCAGTCTACCATGTATACTAGCTATCACTTCATGCCACAACCTCTCCCTTTCTCTAGGCCATCTCCACAACCACTTTCCTAAGAGAGCTTTATTCTTGAGAGTTAACCTTCCTAGTCCCAAGCACCTTCCTCTTTACTCCTACAAACTATTTCCCAGTTAATTAGGTGGTCTTTCTTTTCCTCCCTTGGCTCCCAAAGGAAATTTCTCATTAATCTCTCCAACTTCTTAGCTTCCCTATTAGGAATCCTGAAAACGGAGAGAAAATAGACCGGTAGATTTGCTAGAGTAGCTCTCAATAGTCACTTTACCCCCTATAGAGATGTAGTTCTTTTTCCAAGAAGTTAATCTTTTCTCAAACTTTTCCGACACTGGGGTCCAGAAACTACTCTCTTTTGGATTAGTCCCTAGAGGGAGACCTAAGTACTGTAGAGGCCAAGTAGTGACGGAACAACCTAAGCAATCTGCCACAGTCTGGATGATCCCCTCATTCATATTCACACCTACCACACAACTCTTCTCCATGTTTATTCTCAAATTTGATACCTCCTCAAAGTGTTGTATCAATGCTCTAAGATTCCTCACTTTTTGCCTATCACCCCCTTCACAAAAAATTATGATATCATCAACAAACTGTAGGTGGGTTACCCTAATGTTATTCCTTCCTATCTTCCAGCCACTCACTTCCTCTTCCCTATCTGCCTTAGAGATTAATCTGCTGAAAACATCTGCAACTAAGGTGAAAAGAAATGGGCAGAGAGGGTGACCTTGTTTAAGGCCTCTACAGGTAGGGAAAAAATCTTTGACCACCCCATTCACCAAGACTGAGTAATGATAGGAGCTAATAAAACCCTTTACCCAGTTGCACGATCTATCTCCAAAACCACAACACCCAAGGACCTCTAATAAAAAAAATGAAATTGAAAACCAAAGAAATAAAAAAAATAGGGGGAGTATCGTTATAAGTACCGATACACCTCTGCCAATACAAAGAGGTGTATCAATACTGTGAACCATGGGTTCAATACAGCAGTTAGCAATGTTGCATTGATTAAACCCTAAGAAAATAAGAAAGTAATAAAAAGAAATTAGTATATAAGCACATAAAATGATCATTCTAGTTTAATAATGTCTATTTTATAGTTATAATGTCAAAAAATTAAAAATATAAAAGTATTTTATAACCCAGTGCACAAAACTGCTAGGCGACTGGGCGAGGCGAGCCTCCAAGGGCACTTTGTCGCCTAGGCATCGCCTTGACAACTATGGTTCAGTTTCACATGTTTTTGTCAATCGAACCAACCATCTCGGGTTGACTTATAAGCCAACCGAAACCGATGGAAGTTAATAAAAAAACCGAGCAAAAACTAAATGTGCATAAGGTTGGTTTAATCGGTTTGAAACCGAACCGACATTCTCCTCTTTTAAACCCAAGTTAGAAAGCACTGTTTCAATTTTCGCATGTAGCATCTCATCGTTGTCCGTCTTTGTCAGCTTTTTACTTGTAAAATATTATTATTAATATCTTTTCTGGCATCGACAATAAATATATTGTCAGCCCTCATTGTCTGCTTTTATCAGCTTTTTACTTGTTACCTCACTATTTTATTATGAATATCAATGCATGACAGGTTGTTGTAAGCCTTATTACCTGTTTTTGTTGTCAGCTTTTTACTTTTTAAGGTTTCTCTACAACTTTTTATGGGAGATGTCAAAGCATTGTGGAGAAAGAAGGGCTAACAGATAACACAAGTATATATGTATATGACAGTCGGGTTGGTTCGGTGTTGGTCGGTTTATACACGACCAAACCGAAACCGACCCGACCTCTCCGATTTTCATAATTGAGGAACTGAAACCGATTGACACTATTTGAAAATCGGCCAATTTGAGTCGAGTTGGGTCGGATTGGTCGGTTTAATTGGTTTCATGAACAGCCCTACTTTAGGTAAAGGCTATCCTAGTAGAGAGTATGTGTTTTACAGTATTAAGTGAAATCTAGAGGGAAAAATAACTTCTGTATGTCATGTTTGTAGGTATATTGCAGCAAATTGTTTTGGTAGGGTTTCTTTTCTCTCTGTTTGAAAGGTAGTGGTGCTGATATATGTAATTTTCGTATAAATAATCTGTTTGTATTATGAAGATACAGTATGGAAGGACCAAAACATAACCTCACAAGAGAAACCTGGGAGAGTAGTCTGAAAGTAATACTTGCTTCTCCCAACCCCTTCCCTGGTAAGATTTGCAGGTAACAAGTTAGGTGACCTTTGGATGCATTTACATGTGATGCTCACTCTGGATGCTAAAACTATAGCCTCCCTATATGGTGGCATAATGATCTGAGGCCATCTTATCTCTCTATCATCCATCTGAAATTTATCTTTTAGTTGCTCCAAAGTATTGAGGGTGGGCCTTGGCGGAATGGTTGGTTTGCTCCATTGCGACCTGGGTGACCAGGGTTCAAATCTTGGAAACAGCCTTTCTGTATGTGCAGGGGTAAGGCTGCATATATCCGTTCCTCCTAGACCCCACATTGGCGGGAGCCTCATGCACTGGGCTGCCCTTTAGTTGCTCCAAATATTAGATCAACCAAAGCCTTGGAAAAATATCAGGACTAGACCTTGTAGTAATGCTAAGCTCTAACTGAATGCTTGGGCCCAATTGGCACTGGAAATACTTTTTATTTCTTTCACCACCGTGACCTCTGACTGCCTCTTGCACTGAAAAGACTTATAATTTCTTTCACCATCAGCATATCTTGCCACCATATTCTTGATAAATGTTTTATTTACTTTATGTATGGTTGGTATTCAACTCTCATGAGATTGTTTTGCTTATACTTTCTTGATTTGCTAAATGTGTGCCAATGAATATATGTTATATGAATTTACTGACATTCTATTAGAGATTCAAGATCTCTAGAAATCTCTTTGAACACTGAGTTGTTTAATGATTTCTTGAGTGATGATTTGCTAAGGAATCAGAAGGAGGTTGCAAGGTCAGCTCTGGTGGTAGTGCCTTCTTTACATTACTTGGGCTCCTCCTTGCGGATTTATCAAGTTGAATTTTGATGGGACCTATATTGGGAATCCAGGGCCTTTAGGCATTGGGGGAGTACTAAGGAATGAGGAAGGAAACATAATTGCTCTTTTCTCTGGTCCAATAGGAATGGGTGACTCTCTTTGGGCTGAGATCATGGCAGCCCTGGAAGGTGTACAAAGAGCCAAGGATTTGGGCATTACTAAATTGGTTATAGAAGGAGACTCCAAGTTGGTGGTGGGCTAGCTAAAGAGAGAGATGACTGGATTTTGGAACTATAGCAACGAAAATGGGAAATCGAAGTGGTTGGCAAAGGATATTGAAATTAAGCTGAATTGGATTAAAAGAAGTGCTAACTCTTTTGCTGACGGGTTATCTTAAGCAAGGGGTGAACAGGAGTGCTTTGTTTTGGGCTAATATGTAACTTGGTTTTTGTTTCTTTTGGTTGGGGAGTTAATAGAATTTATCTCCCCTTCTCCTTTGTACTTAATCTCCATTTTTCTTAATGAAAGTTATTTGTTATTGATAAAAAAAGAAACTTGTCAAAAAAAAAGAAAATCGGTCAACACACTATAGCTGATTTATTGGCCATGGGTGGGATGAACATGGACTTATCATTTTATTGTATTGTGGTGTATTCTACTGAAGTAGATTCATGGTATCATTGTAGTTGGCTTTGGTTGTAACCATCCAGTGGTGGAGGAATGTCCTGCTGCATGATTACTATTAATAATTTAAGAAAGCTCAAAGCTCACATGACCTGTTAGGGGTGGGTAGCAAAGGCTAGCCCACAAAGGAGAGCTTCGCAACTATGTATATCTTCAATCTTTATGATTTAATCAATAATCATATTGGGTATTGATAAGAAAAGCTCAATTGATCTGTTAACAATCAATTAATATAATGCATACATGCATGCCTTTACTTGTTTCGTTATTCTTTTTCCTTTTGTACAATTTTACACACATATTGTCATTTGATACTATATATGCTTATACATATTTATATACTCAAGTTTATTCTTTTGGATTACAACTTATGATAGCTTACTGCTGATGTAATTCAGGTATTAGGAAAATCATAAATGAAGTTGTGAAGAGACCTTCAGATGTGAGAAAATCTGGGGTTAGTGCTTTACTTTGGTATACTATGAGAGGAACTCCATCAAGGCTCCATTCAAGAGCAGAGCAGGTTCTGCTGTTATTGGTGAATAATTCTATATTTGAAATTGGTGATAAATCTGCTCAAGGTAAGATTTTTTCCCTATAAAATGCTACATTAGTCAGCCGCTCAGCATGCTCATTTTGTGTAATATCTATTTGGGTGCCATCTTACTCCAGATCCTCTTTTCATGTCTGAATATGATCTAATCTATTGTCTGAGGCTAAATTGAGTATATTCATCATGTGGTTTGGCTTTGTGTTTAAACTTCATTTATTATTAAGGTCTTTTTATTTATTTTTCCTTTTCATTTCTTAGTATAAAATAAAAACATATAGTTTACATGTCAAGTATGCCAAATCATTTCTGGTGCAACTTCAGCAGAATGAAGTGCAACTTAAAATAGTATTTAAGGTGTTTGGTTAAACTAGGAGAATCATAAAGAGTCATTGTGATGATGGACTGACTTATATACAGCAGACTAAGGGAATTAGGATTAACTTAAAAGAAATATGGCAGAGAATCAAGGAAGAAGATGAACTGTTTTGACTGTATAACATTAATGCTGAACAAAGACTTCAGCAATGATAAACTAGAAGAAAGTGAAAAATGAAGAAAGAACAATGCAAGGTGCTAACCAGCTGGTTGGTAAGGTCTCCTGCTGGTCGAGCGGAGACTTGGGATCAAATACCACCTGCACCTGGGTTGGGGGATGGGCTAACCCCCCCGTTGTGTAGCCCTTCAAAAGAAATAAAAAACAGAAAGAAGAATAATAGTTGCTGTATTGGAGACAAAACGAGAAAAAATTTGAGGAAAGAAATCTTAAGTTGGAATATTTCATTCCACAGTTGTAAATGAGAGTTTAGAAGTTGTGACGGTGGTATATCCAGCACCATATTATTGCTGAGAACATGAAAGCACTTAGAGAAATCTTATGGGGCTTAGTGTAGACTCCAGGTTTTAGAAGGGACCTGATTTAGAGCTTGCTGACATTGGTTGAGACAAAGGGGGAAAGATGCATATCAATGTGTGTGGATGTTGGGAAGTTGCCTTTTTATTGTTTGGTTGCTTCTCAACCATCTCTGCACATCAAAGAATGTCTGTTTCCCCAACAGGGTATTATGTAGACCTTTGGTCCCATTAAAAAGCTGCTTTTATGTTGTAGATTGTGTACTTTTGGCTGCGTTTGTTTGCTGTGCAAATACCAGTTCAATGCATAAATGTACTCTGGTTCAGTTTTGGAAGCATTTAGTAAGCATACATTTGTGTACTGAAAATGACAGCTATCACAACTTCCAAGACACGTTTATAGTTAAAATGAGAGCAAAGTTTGTACCCAAAAAATTGATACACACTTTGCACTCATAGTTGGTCAATGTAAAAAAGATGGATTTGAGTCTTGGAATCCGTGTTTGTACTCGTTATAACCAGAAACCATTTAGTTGGGATACCAAACTTATCAGTGTAAAATTAGAACACTGCATTGGCCAGAGGGGGTTTTTGCATGGTACGTATTTGTTCTTGCATTGGAAACAAATGCAGCCTTATGCTCAGTTTGGAAGGAGTACTAATACAAATTTGTAGCATGCAAAACCTTATATTTTGTATATATTTGTACTGTAGATATTTGCATTTGTACTCCTTCCAAACTGAGCCTTAGGGAAATGTCTCACTAGGGGTTCTGATCAACAAAATGTCTGACTAGGGGTAAAATAATTTGAAGGGGTAGGGAGCTGCTGGAAATAGGGTATGTGTTTTGCCCTTTATAGATGGAAACTGCAGATAATCTGTTTGTGCCCTTTAGAGATGGAAACTGCAGATAATCTGTTCGTACTTCGTACACTGTCCCACAGCATAGGTGGAATGATTTTTTGCCACTTGGTCCAGCTTAGCTGGTCTTTTCCTGGCACCTCAGTGGAGGTATTAGATGCATGGTACATCTACGGCCTGAGTAAGAAAGAGGAATGTCGCATGGAATCTTGTTCTCATAGTGATCCTATATTACTTGTTTGGTCAGAAAGGAATGCAAGAATTATTGAAGACTGTTTGTAGTGAGGTCATTTTAAGGAAAGCTGTGGCTACTTCTCTCTTCTGTCTCTTAGTGACAAATGCTTTCAGGAATGTATCACACTTGTCTTCTCTCCACGATATTTTCTTTGGACAATGATAAATATAGGTCTATATGGTGTTTTATGTTATGGATGTCCTTTTTTGCCTCCCTTATAGACACACTCTCTACATTAGGTTCTCAAATGCTATACTTGTATATCTACATCTTTTATCATTAAATGTAAGAGATATTATCTTTTCCAAAAGTAAGGAGCTGTGCGATAACAGCCGAGGTGGCTGAGAAAACCTATAAAATTTATAACATACATTCAAAAAATATTGTAAAATATAAATAAAACTAAAAATTTGCCAACAAATTTTCCCATAATCTTGTGAGATTTTGAAAATTTGTTTCAAATTTTAGGTCTGAAATGGATGAAACTTCCAAAATTTAAAACCTTGCTGGAGATGAACATTTGGTTGTTTTTCCGTCATTTTCAACCTTGGTAATTTCTGGGAGATTTAAAGTGGAAATGGAATCACTTTTCTCTTTGGGTGATTGACTAGTGGTTCAATTGTCCTGGTCAAGTGGCTCTACCTGTGATGTCATAAATTGAATATTAAAAATAGAAAGCAAATAAAAATACAGAAAAATTGCAGAAGAAATGGGCTTACCTGTGACAATGTTTTTAATCTGTTCTTGACATGGATGGGTCGATTTTTCTCAGACCTGTTTAAAGCCAATAAACCAATGGTTAACCAGCGAATTGTTTAACCCACTACATGTTTCAATGGCTCACATTATTCCATTAATTTTATTTTTAATTAACATTTTAATATGACCAACCAGTCGGTGAAGTGGTTGGTCAAAAAATGGGTGAGAGAGAGAGAGAGGCGTAAGATCTGTTCCGTGGCAATCAGAGAGAGAGAGAGAGAGAGGGGAGGGGGCTTCTATACAGGGTTACTTAACCTAATATTCCCATCTAAGGGCCTGAAACATAATAGCTCGTATTTTTTTTTTGATAAATGAATGGTATTTTATTCAAAGGAAACAAAATGATGTTACAATACAGACTGCCCGAGGAGATGCACGAGCTGGTACCTCTCTTCAACAACAACAATGTACTACATCAGACTCGGAAATGAAAGTTTACAGAGCTGCCCAGAATAAATGTTCTCTTGATACCCCTTGCTTAGCTAACCAATCCGCTATGGTATTAGATGTTCTACCCACCCACTGAGAATTTACAGTCATGTTCCTTGAAAACCAATTAACTTTCCTCATAATGTCCCTGTAGCACCAAATAACTGAATCTGGATTTTTTAACCAACCCACAACAACTTTGGAGTCTCCTTCAATAAGCAAATTCTGAACTCCTAACTGATCTGCAATCTGAATACCTTGTACCGCCATTAGAAGCTCAGCTCTAATAGAGTCTCCTATACCCATGGAGCCTGAGAGTAAAGCTAAGGTATTGCTGTCTTTATCTCTTAGCACCCCTCCTATCCCTGAAAGACCTGGATTTCCTTGGCTGCTATCATCAAAATTCAGCTTTGTCCAGCCTTCAGGAGGCACTCACACAGCTGGTACCCTGTTCTTCCTAGTACTGCTACTAGCCACAACTATCCAATTCCTCCAAATGTCATCAAAAGAGTATATTTTAAAGGAATCCAATGATCTCAGCCATTGGATTGCCCTGTCAAAATACAATCCTTTACAGTAAATATTTCGCTCATTCTCTTGGAAAATCCTCGCATTTCTTTCTTCTCAAATTGTCCATATAGCAGCAACTCTAATGATCCTCCACATTGTTTTACCATTTTTTGTGGGCCACACAAAGAAGGAAGGGTCAAAGAGCTGATTTACAGTTGTAGTCAAATTCCACCTGCACCCAAACAAGGCAAACATCCAGCCCCAAATAGCATCAGAAAAAGAACAGGTTAAAAGTAAATGAGAGCAATCCTCACCATTAACCCTTCAAAGTACACTGTAGTTAGGAGACAACACATGGAAGGCCTTCTCTTCTGCAACAAGTCTGAAGTGTTGATTTTTCTATAGAACACCTCCCAGCAGAAAATAATAATTTTAGGAGGTATACAGGTCTAGACCAGATCTCCTTAGCTGGAAAATCCAACTGTCTCGGGGAAGAGCAAAGGGACTTAAAGATGGAGGCACACGTGAAGTAACTTTTTGGATTAGGGGACCAAAGTCTTACATCAGATCTGAGAGCGTCCAGAAAAACACTTCCAAGTAGTGACAAAAGGTCTGAAACACAAGAGAGTTCATGATCCCTCAAGCCCCTACGAAACCCAAAGTCCAAATTCAGAGAGGAAGGAGAAACAGATGTTGGAAGAAAGTGTGAGATTGCTTTATTCTTGTAACAAGAAAGGGAATAAAGAGAAGGGAAACTGTCCTTAAGGGCAGAATGGCCCACTCAGATGTCTTCCCAAAATAAAACAGAAGTACCAGAATTGACATCATATACCTAATAAAGTTGAGGAAAAAAGGGAGCATACTCTGAATTGCTTTCCAAGGAGTTGCCAACGTGGCTTGACACGATACACCAGCATCCCATCCATTTTCCGAACTACCATGTATACTATCTATCACCTCATGCCACAACCTCTCCTGTTCTAAGGGCTACCTCCACAACCATTTACCTAAGAGAGTTTTATTCTTCAAAACTAAGTTCCCTAGCCCCAACCCACCCTCCTCTTTCCTCCTACATACTATTCCCCAGTTTATTAAATGATCCTTTTTTTCCTCCCCTAGCTCCCAAAGAAAATTTCTCATTAATTTCTCCAACTTCTTGGCCTCCCTAACAGGAATCTTGAACACAGAGAAGTAATATATCAGCAGATTTGCTAAGGAAGTTTTCAGTAAAGTTCTAAGGGACACATAATTGCTCGTATTTAAGGTGTAGATTTTCTTTAGGTGTTTGATCCATTTAAATCAGATGATCGAACCAATGAACCGTCATCAAACCAAAACCAGGTTGATATCCAGGTCAGGTTTTAATACATTGTTTTCTACTATTTTATATTTGGTATATTAAATAAAAATGTGTGGTAAATGAGATTTATTATTGTTAATGCTGGAAATAGCTACACATACAAAAAAAGTGTACCCCATGACCCACTGTCCAAGTCAATAGGGGTGCAAATGGATCAGATAAGATCTGATCCGATCGGAATCTGATCATATTTTTGTCAGATTTGGATTACCCTCTGTTGGATTCTCAGATTGTACCGGATAATCAAATCCAAGGTTCAAAGTATCGATACCTATCAGCTCGTATCGGTCGATACGTATCGTGCCGATGGATTCCCGATATGCCCCTCTAGGGGTTGTATTGGGTCAGGCCATGGTTCAGAGGGTAGCCAGGCCTTAAATCGACCCCTCTGAACTGGTTTCGAAAAAAATAAATAGAACCTAAAAAAAGTACTGATACAGGCCGATACGCCCTATCGGTGTATCGGCCTGTGTTGATACATTGAACCTTGATCAGATCCGATTGTATTCGGATCACCTCCCTATCCAATCCGATCCGACTCGACCTATTTATGTGTATATATATTTATAAATATACTTACTTATATAAAGACATGTAAATATTTTTATATTTACTTATAAATATGTTTATATTGCTGTTTTTGTAAATTTTTATAAAAAGACATGTATATATTAATATATATGATGAAAATAGTTGAAAAAATACTTATATTTTTGTTTTTCTTTATATAATTTTTTTTGCTTTTTTCTTTTAATAATTTATTATTATTTTTTTCATAATTCAAATTAGATTGGATCAGATTCAGATATCCGACATCCTTAACAGATTCGGATTTGAATAACCATTCGTGAGATCCGATTGGATCTTCGGATTTGGTCGTGTCTTGGATATGTAATATCGGATCGGATTCAGATATACCATGATTCAAATCCGATCCAATCCATTTGCATCCCTACAGGTCAAACAGTTCAGTGGTTCAACCATCTGGGTCACTAGGTTGTTGACCCAGTCAATGGTCTTTTTGCAGGTGAATGGTTCTGGGATGAAATGGACCTGGACATATGACCTGGTGATTGGTTGACTGGTCTGACAGTCACAGGCAGGTTGAAAATACTGATTTCTACACAGTGGTATCTTCCTTCATCTGGAAAGAAAAAGCTTAATTCGATGGATATTCATTAGACTATCAGGGCGTCTCTGGAATTTGGGGAAGAGGTCTTACTGTCTTACAAAGTACCACAACGGAATTGCTTGACAGTTATTGATAACTTGTCTTGAATTCCTTTCTTTATGCAAGGCCATTGGTTCCTTTCTCCCCCTGAAATGGAGAGGGTGGAGGCTAAATGGTATTCAACCACTGCAACTGAATTTGGAGGTGTTATTGGTCCTTGGAGATTCCCCTGTCTGTTAGGGAGTTACATATCTTAGCATTCATTCCAGGTAAAGACCTTGTTCTTGCCAGCTAACTTGGTACTAGATTATTTGGCCAAGGGCAGAGTTAAGTTTGTTTATCTGAATCTTATATTTGTTTCACTTTTTTGCAGTTGTTCCTTTCTGGTGTCTTGGACGCATTTAGTCTTGTATTATTCCTGCTACTTCCTCTATCTTACTGTGAGGCTGCCTTGAAATGAAATGGTGAAAAGGATTCATATAGGAAACAAACCCAATTAGCTGGCTAGTTCCTTGATAATGGTGGTGCTGATTAGTTTTTTTAGTTGGCTGAACTTTTTTACTTCAAAAAGGTTCATCTATAATTATACAGAGAGGTTAATAAATGATACTACTTAGCTACTGAACCTGTAATATTTTACAGAGGTTTCAATTGAAAATTTTGTAGATTGTTTAAATTTTCTTGTCCTTCTCTTTTTTCAATGAGTGTTGTATTAGGCATGCGACTGTTGTTGTGTTTCCTTAAGATGCTTGTAATAGTATACTTAAATTATAGGTTCTTGATTGTTCTTCCTTTTTTTCTAGGCTCAATATATGATAGTTAATTTTGAATTCTTTTATGCTCATCGTCTTGTTTTTCCTAAGTCTTTAGTGGGTATGCAGGTTCAGATACCATTGTTGAGGTTGTAACTATTACCTTTCAAAGATTATGCGAAGAGCTTCAACAGGAGTTGAATTTGATATTTGATTGCTTATTAGTGGAAATATCTGATTGTGTTATTCAAGAACAGTTGTTGCACCTGACTCGTCTACTGTCTATTCTTATTTCTACTGTCCAGTTTACAACAGGAGGAAAAGTTTCAGGTGAGTAAAAATTAGCCTGATTAATTTTGGAGACCCTGTATTTTGACAAAATTCCACCTGTCTAATCTTCAGGGGTCTGACCCTTGTCTTGTACTTGTACACCTTCTTGTTTAACCCCCCTCTTTCTATTCAATGAAATCAGTTAACTTCTTTCAAAAAAAAAAAAGTAAAAATTAGCCTGATTAAACTCATTATGTAACCTTATTCCTTATGTTGCTTTGTTTTTGATCTTTTGGTGATCACTCGTCACTCCCCTGATGTGCCAAAAAAAACTCTTTCTACAACTCCAAGGTGGATGTAGGGTGGCTACAGAACCCAGAGGTGTGGTTTGATGCTTTAAGAATGAACTTAAAAAAATTCAAGTGGCTGACAAGAAATCTGTGTCAGAATACAGTGGGTGGGGAGATCAACTATTGCTATGGCTGATAGTTTAGCCAAGCAAGTGGCAAATAGGGAACAGTTATATTGGGCACAAATCTATTTTTTTTTTGATCAATAAAATTAATTATAACGTTCACAGTGGGACTCGAACCCACAAATCTATTTTAATTTTTAATTTTTTATTGTTTGGAGAGGTCGCAGCTCGTGCCTCTCCATGGGTCTCTTGTATCTGTTATTCTCCTTTCTCTAATAAAATTTTCTCATTTATCAAAAAAAAAAAAATCTCCAAGCTAATATGTTTATTTAAACTACTATTTTGTATGGTTTATGTGTTGTTCTTTTACAGATTACCAACCAATGCTTAATCTTGTGGGGTTGCTTATGAGGACATATATCAAGCCTTCTGGCAATGGGATGGTAGAGGATCATTCTTATGATTTGGTCAATAAAATTCTTCAATTTATGTTGTGCCTTCTTGATGGGCTCCACAATTCCAATGATGCATCAGCCATTGCAAGCATATCTTCTCAATGGGCTCCTATATTTGAATTGAGAAACCCATGGTAATGCATCTAACAAACTAGTTGAGCATTATTGTGTATCTTGGGTTTTCAATGCTTTTATTTGACCTAGGTAGTCTGAAATTATCCAAATTTGAATCTGACTCTTGTATTTTTTTACCCAAACTTTACTCCTAATGGAGGGGTCTGAAATTTTATTAATAAATAAATCAAGAAGCTTATGAAGATGGGGTTGGAAGTAGTACAAAGGGTTTGAGTCATAGACACTATATATAGCAATGTTTAGAAAACTGGACTGGACCGGCCTGTCGGACTGGTCAAACCATGACCCAGGACCCTTGCTGGTTTGGTCATACCCTAAAAACCGGAATTCTTAAAATGGCTGGCCGGCTGGTTTAATTGGAGAACCGGTCCTGGTTTTATAGAATCACCTGGGTCATTAATGGATGGAATTTTCAAATGCTAATGAGAGGACTTGAACCCTGACATATCATTTATGTGTAATCTCTTGTTACCATCAATCATTCCTTCATTTGTGTTTGTTTATGCCTATTTACAGAAAATGTGTGTTGAGAGGTTCTATCGAAAAAAAAGTGAGTTGAGAGGCTTGAACCCTGGTCATTTGCTTTAAAAATTAAGGAACTAACTATTTATCCACCACACAAGCATGATATTATTTGTAAAATATATCATTTATAGTGTTTATGTGACCCACAATATATGTATGTATATGCCATGTCATCACGGTTCGGCCTCCGGTTTGACTACGGTTGAACTTTTGATCCTCGAACCTCTCCCTTTTCCGGTTTTATGCCTGGTCTGGTTCTTTGAACACTGATATATACAGAAAACCTAAACCATCCCCTAAACCCAAAGGCCAATCTGTTCTTGTAATAGGAATTTGTAGGTGATCTTCATATGAAAGAGATTGTATGCTGGTGGAGATTTCATGCTAAAAAGAATCTTATATTCCCACCTATTACATGCCAAGTTTGCTAATGCATCAGCAACCCTGTTCCCTTCACAAAGTAAATGCTGAAATGTAATAGACTAATAGTCTTGTCCAATTCCAGCATCTTGATTTGTCAATTCAATGGTGAATGTGCCATGGTATCTTGTAATTACAATTTAATATGTCCACTGCTAGTTAAGAATCACTTTCAATAGTCAAGTTGGAATCTTGAAGCTGCTTACCAAAGTTGATGGTTTAAAATCCCCTACTTCAGCTACCACATTAGTATCAACACTATAGAGAAAAAAAATGCAAATTTCATCCGGCCATTATGATCTTTCAGCACACCATTGCCACCATACAAATGAGGGTTAATCTGACTCTTGTGTTAATAGGTTTGAGATAGGGTATATTTTCTATGGGAAAACTTGGGGAAATGGTAAGGTTATTCCATGAGAAAGGATGGATTCTAGAAGTCTTCCATGAGGTTTTGAGCATGTCAATGGCCTGGCTTGTCAGGGTTGCCACTCTGGTAGATGTTAATTGTTTTGGTAACACTGTGGAGGGAGGATGTGGTGGAAGTAGTGGAAGAATTGGTAGGCAGATTCTCAGTTTCCATTAAGTGTAAGAATGCAGAGGATGGGTGTATATGGGTCTTAACCAATGTTTATGGCCCTAATTCCTATAGAGAGGAATGAGATGTGGGAAGAACTATATGCAATCAAGGGGCTATGGGATGGCCCTTGGTGCCTGGGTGGGGATTTTAATGTCATTATATTCTCTGATGAAACCAGTAATCCCCAACAGGTAATTACAACAAGCATGAGGAAATTTAATGGTTTTATTGAAGAATGTGAATTGAAGGAAATACCTCTGCTGCAAGCCAGTTACACTTGGTCCAACCTTCAGGAAACCCCTTTGTGTTCGAAGTTGGACA